CACTTGTTCCTAATAGCTTCTTTGTTACTACTAGTAAGGCACTTGTTCCTAGTAGCGATGCCCTTTGCTCCTAGTAGCTTCTTTGTTACTACTAGTAAGGCACTTGTTCCTAGTAGTGATGCACTTGTTCCTAGTAGCGACTTTGTTGCTACTAGTAAGGCACTTGTTCCTAGTTTACTTTGCTTTGGCTCCAACCTAGCGATGTCCTCCAACCTAGTTGCGTCCTTGCTCCGTTCGTAGCGATGCCCTTCGTTCCTAGAAGCGATGGTTTCTGTGTCTGTGCAGAACATTCTGCGGGTCTCAGATCATTGGCCGGCAGCGTGCCTGCAGTGTCACAGAACTTTGCCTGTCTCTCCTTTCAAAAGAAAGAAAAATAGACTTTGAAAACAAAACAACAAAACTGTTGTCTTTTGAGTGTCCGAATCTGATCGCACCTGCGCTTGGATTTGCGGCGCTTCATCTTTTTGCCAAGCGTGCATTGATCATCGCCTCAACCGAGACGAAGAACGGATCGACGAATGGAGACGATGCGGGGGGTTCGCTCCGTTCGTAGCATCCTTGTTCCTAGTAGCGATGCCAGGAGCCCCTACTAGCGTCCTTGTTACTACTAGTAAGGCACTTGTTACTAGAAGCGATGCACTTGTTCCTAGTAGCATCCTTGATTCTAGTAGTACGGCCAGGAGCGCCCCTAGTCGTTTTGCTCCTAGTAGCTCCTCGTATTCACATTGACTTCCTTAGTAGATTCTTCTTAAATCCGCAAATGCCAAGAAAACATTCTATTTCCAACTGTTCCAACTGATTCTAATCTGTTCTAGCTAATCTAAATCCAATTTAGACGAAAACTACGTCGTTCTAACATAATTCGATCTAAGTTTAACCTCAGTTTATTCAATCTTAGCCAGTTCAAATGAATTCTGATTAAACTCAAACCCAAATTAAATCTAGTGCGAACACGAAGGCGGGGGGAGAATCTTTGAAGAACCGTGAGCCATCCTGTGTCCAGTTGCTAGTAGCTTACCTCCTTATAGCACTGGCCTCCAAACTAGTAGCGATGCCCTTTGCTCCTAGTAGCGTCCTCTTGCTCCGTGCGTAGCATCAAAAAGCATCGCACCTGGAGGTCGCTCTTGTTGCAATCTTTCACTTTGGCCTGCCGAGCAAAAGCGGTTTCAGAGTAGATGTTACCCTCTATTTCTATGCTTTACCCGCATTTAGCGCCTAGATGTGCCCAGGAACAAGGACGGTACTAGGAGCAAAGGGCATCGCTACTAGGAGCAAGGACGCTACTAGGGGCTCCTGGCCTTACTACTAGGAGCAAGGACGCTAGTGTCTATCATCTTCTACCATTGTCTACCTGTCTGCCCCTGTTTCGTTACCAAAAAATTGCTCGGCACTCATGCCTTCATTTTGTTGCGCTCGATGAGGTCGTCCTGAATCTGGAGAATTGAACAGAAAATTGGGTTTCTGGAGAGAAATCAACCTAGGAGCGATGGCCTCCAACCTAAGCGCGTTCTTGTTCCTAATAGCGATGCCAGGAGCTACTAGTAGCTTCTTGCTCCTAGTAGCGATGCCCTTTGTTACTAGTGGCGATGCCCTTGCTCCTAGTAGCTTCTTGTTCCTAGTAGTAAGGCCAGGAGCCCCTAGTAGCGTCCTTGCTCCTAGAGAATTTGTCTTCGAAACGATCTGTGACGCTCCTGGGCACGCCGGAAGATTTCCTGCGCTTCGGAGATTTCTTCAGCGCTCGCAGGAGGAGGCAATGCATCGCTTCCCTCAGCCAACGAGGTCTTACCAAGACTCGTGAGATTCAGATTACTTTTTTGCTGCTAGGAGGCCATCGCCAGCAAGTTGGAGGCCATCGCCAGTAGGTTGGAGGCCATTGCTATTAGGTTGGAGGCCATTGCTATTAGGTTGATTTTTTGTAGAGACCCAAATATTTTCTCTGCTTTGCTTTACCTTTTTTGTAGAAAGAATGTCCTGGTCAGACTTTGAGACATTCGTGTTTGCCTCTGAGCCTGGAGCTTCGCTCTCGTTGTCCGGGATCTGCCAACATCCGACACACTCTGCCACTCTTCGGAATGAAGCGATGGCCTCCAACCTACTAAAGATGGCCTCCAACCTAATAGCGAGAGAGAGAGAAAGCCAGAGAAAGGAAAAGAAACAGAGATGAAGTCCGGTGTGAAGATAAAAACCTGCCGTTCAAATTGACAAACACCATTCTGGGTTCAGTTCGGTCACACAACTTCCAGAAAAAGATTTGCCAAAGGAGACCATTGCTCTCAGGTTGGAGGCCGCTAGTAGGTTCCTTAAAGGATTTTGCTTAAAGTATATTTTCTATAAGGGTATGTTTGATGCTTCAGGTCTAACGCCCCACCCCTTAGAAGCCTTAGCATGAATGTAATGTCTAGCTCAAAACTGACTGGGTGCAAGAAAAAAGAGTTGTGGTGCATTCAGACAAATCCGTTTACATGTCCGTATGCAAAGAAAGCCTTAACAGAGGGTGAACTTTGGAAATAACTCTTGAGTGGCAAGACTTATGAGGATCTATGACAATGCCTACAACCTTTTGTGCTTAGAAGGCTTTCAAGCATTGGTTTGAAGGGGAAGGGAACGAAGCGAAAGAAATCAGACTAACGACATGACAGACATTTCCAGAGAGCTGCCAAACGGGTGGGCAAAAGCCATCCAAAGCCAAGCAGTTTCGTTGAGATCTTCGCATTGTTAGTAACAAGAAGCTACTAGGAACAAGTGCCACGCTACTAGTAACAAGTGCCTTACTAGTAGTAACAAAGAAGCTACTAGGAACAAGTGCCACGCTACTAGTAACAAGTGCCTTACTAGTAGTAACAAGAAGCTACTAGGAACAAGTGCCACGCTACTAGTAACAAGTGCCTTACTAGTAGTAACAAAGAAGCTACTAGGAACATAAAGTTTTCACATAACGTTTTCACATAAAGTGTTCAAATCCAAACCGTAAGTTTTGCTCCGTTCGTAGCGTCCTCTTGCTCCTAGTAGTAAGGCCAGGAGCCCCTAGTAGCGATGGTCATTCGTAGCGACCTGCCTCTAGACTCCGTTCTGCCATCTCGGCCATCTCTGCCATCATCTCCTCCTCGTCGTCCTTTTTGAACGACACCTTGTCAATGGCATCCTGGATGGCGAGGGCGATCTCAAACCACTAGTAGCTTCCACCCTAATAAGAATGGCCTCCACCCTAATAGCGATGCCCTCCACCTAGTAGCTTCCACCTACAAGTAGCTTCTTGTTACACAAGCTGTATAAATGTACAAGCTGTATAGTTGTCTGGGACTCTGCGTCCTGAATTTCCAGCAGCTCAGGATCATCTGGATAATCGGCCTACAAGCAAGATTACATGGTCACGCTGCATGCAGTGCAAGCCAACAAATGCCATGCAACGTCCTCATAGTTGCCCTGCGAGAAGAACTTGCCTAAGAGCAACCCAAAGGATCATGCAAACACTACATACAAAAACAAACAAGCAACAAAGGAATAAAAACAAGAAGGACAAGTCTAAGCGTCACCAAAAATAAACAATCAAGGCGTTCCCAAAACTTGTTCCTGTTGTCTTCGTGTCTTTCTCTGTATTTGTGGCCTTTCTCTTTAAAATCACTCTCTCAAGTCTCAACTGTCGCCACGCAACTCCCTTTGCCTGAAGTCCAGTCCTGCGGGACTAAAACTAAGCCGTTTTTCTCACCAGCCGCTTGGAGGCGATGCTACTAGGAACAAGTGCATCGCTACTAGTAACAAGTGCCTTACTACTAGTAACAAGAAGCCCATTATAAACAAGAAGCTATTAGTCACAAAGGGCATCGCTACTAGGAGCAAGAACGCTACTCGTAGCTCCTGGCCTTACTACCGGAAGCAAGGACGCTAGTAGGTTGGAGGCCGTCGCTTCAAAGATGACGAGGCCATCGCTACTAGGGTGGAGGCCATTGCTATTAAAAGGTTTAAAGGTTTAAGGAAAAAGAAAAAACAAGAGGCTTCAACAAATTCCTAGAAAGCCTGAATTCCACAGTTGCGTGTTGGTGTTACTAGTAGCTATATGTTACTAGTAGTAAGAATGCTCCTAGTAGCGATGCCAGGAGCCCCTGGTAGCGTCCTTTGCTCCTAGTAGTAAGGCCAGAGGCCTCCAGTAGCTTCTTGTTCCTAGTAGTAAGTAGGGCGTTTCGCACTTCTCAAGAAAGGCCTTGCTCTCGCCATCGCCATGCGACCAGGTACACGATGCACCGCGAGTGCATTCGCCCTTCATCCAGAATTTACCTCAACTCCGGTTGGGCCAACCTAGTAGCAATGGCCTAGGACGCTACTAGGGGCTCCGGCCTTCCTACTAGTAGTAACAAAGAAGCTATTAGGAGCAGGTGCATCGCTACTAGTAACAAGTGCCTTACTAGTAGTAACAAAGAAGCTATTAGGAACAGGTAGCATTTTTCTCCTTCTCAGATCTTTCAAAAGCGCCATGTTTGTTGGAGGCCATCGCTTCTAGGTTGGAGGCCATTGCTAGTAGGTTGGAGGCCATCGCTAATAGGTTCCCTAAAGTCTATTTAAAGAAAAGAAATCCTGTGTTTGTTCCTTCATCGTGTTTCATCTCTACATGGCTCGCCTCGTGTTTCAGTCGACTTCTACATGTGGCATTTGTATGGATGCTTAATCTTAATCCTAGTCGACTGCATTCTGTATCATGATGTCTCTCTACGCTCCAATCCCGAATCCTCGTTTCTCTACCTCAAACCGAATAGCGATAGCCTCCAACCTAAGAGCGATGGTCTCCCTACTAGGTTGCGATTAGGTGTCTCTACCTCCGACCTCACTTGCAACCACTTGCCCAACTACTAGAAATGGCCTCCAACCTAGTAGCAATGGTTTCCAACGAAAAAAAGAAAGCTCTTGCTTTTGGTGTCCATCAAAAGTATTGGTGTTCTACAATGCCAGAATAACTAAAGAGTGAGCAAGTCAGCACCCTCTTGCACCAACTAAAGGCGACTTCAGAGAGCCTACTTAATTCAGTGACGGAGAAACTTGTACGCTCCTAGCTAAATAGAAAAGGGCAACAAAGAAAAGAAAAGGACCTGCATGCTATTGAGGTGTGATCTAGCTCTAGCACTTGCCATAAAGAAACCAAATTCGAGTAGAGAAATGGTGACCTGGAACAAATTCGACATCAGTCAAGCCCACACAGAATTGCCCATTGCAGCTGAAGCACACATTGCCTTTCCACTGCTCTTGCCTTCGCCTTTTCCTCCACTCTTGCCTCCCGATTAGCAACAGCCCTCTGAACCTTCGATAACTGTCCGATACCAAGAGGCTGAGCAGGATGGATGAGGCAGGATGCTTTTACAAAGAAGCTACGAACGGAGCAAAGGGCATCGCTACTAGGAGCGACGCTACTAGGGGCTCCTGGCCTTACTACTAGGAACAAGGACGCTACTAGGAGCAATAAGAAAGAAAAGATCAAAAAAATAGAAAAAAAGAAAATGCTTTTACGCTAGCGATGGCCTCCACCCTACTAGCGATGGCCTCCGATTTACGCTTGCGAGTTGGCATGCGGAAGGCTCTGTTTCACGGTCGTGCCTACAAACGACTGCGCTATTGCCTCGGGGGAGCGTCTTCTCTTTAGTAGCGATACCTTGTTACTAGTAGCTTCTTGAGCAGTAAAAGGTGTCTTGAAGGATTCGAACATGTTGAAATAAGAATCGATGCCCTTTGTTACTAGTAGCTTCTTTGTTACTACTAGTAAGGCACTTGTTCCTAGCAGCGATGCCCTTTGCTCCTAGTAGATTCTTTGTTACTACTAGTAAGGCACTTGTTCCTAGTAGTGATGCCCTTTGCTCCTAGTAGCTTCTTTGTTACTACTAGTAAGGCAC